AACACTGTCGTTTTTTTGGGGGGGTTGAAATTTTGAATTTCTCTGATCTTCTTGAAACTCTGGATTCTGACAGAGGGCCATGGGATTTAGACCTGAGTGCAAAAATGGAGGCTCTAGATCCTTCCAGAGCTGAGATATTGAGATATTTATAATGGCATAAATGCTACGTGGGATGTCCATATCTCAGCTCTGGAAGGATGTAGAGCCTCCATTTATGCACTCAGGTCTAAGTCTCGTGGCCCTCTATCAGAATCCAGAGTTTCAAGAAGATCAGAGAAACTCAAAATTTCGACCCAAAAAAAAACCCGACAGTGTTACCCCTGTCGTTTTTTTTTTTTGGTGCGAAAAAATAAGTTTCTTCAACCTTCTTGAAACTCTGGATTCTGATAGAGGGCCATGGGACTTAGACCTGAGTGCAAAAATGGAGGCTCTAGATCCTCTAGATTACATCTCTGTATGTGCATTAAACATGCATTTCGGGCATGCAATGTGTGCTACTTTATTTAGACATTCACACAATTAAAAAAAAATATTATTATTAAATTAGCATTGTAAAAAATCTAATAGGTCTATAATTATCAATTTATTTATTTATTTTACAGGACAATTGTACTTTACAACTGTAATGTATTTATATTTTCATTTTTATAATTAGAATTAGTAAAACATAATATTCATAATTTGAATAAAAAACAACCTTATAAATGAGCAGCCCCATATATAAATATTTTTATTTTTTTTAAACAAATCAAAACTATTATCATTTTTATCATTAACTAAAACTATTAAAAAAAACATCTCTGTTAATTAAAAATATAAAAATTAAAAAATAAAATATAAATTAGTTAACCAAACCAAACTTATTTCAGTTTATTGCAAAGGCAACATTGAAGTTTAAAGCACTAAAATTATTAACTAGAAATAATTAAAAACTAAAAGTAACTAAAACTAAATTAAACATAAATTGAACCTACATGGCAATATATAAAAATGAAAATAAAATATAACTAAAATTAACATGAAAAGTACAATTAAAGCCAATTCATTATTAAACTATAATAAAACTAAAATAACACAACACTAACTAAAAAAGTCTTATGTTTACATGCATGGAATGTGACCAGTAACCAACATCAGAAAATAAACAATGAACATGTGAATGTGACGTTAATTATATTGAAATATTAACTTAAAATCTCAGGGGATACTTCAAGTAAATATTTAACATCATAGGGGTTCAGCTGACAACATTTTTTGTATGATACGTGTTGACTTACCAGGCATGATACTATAAGATGACTGATGACCACAGCACCAAGAGCCCACCATCTCTGTTTCTCACACGCCTCGAAGAAAACAACCCCCCAGAACATATGCAGCAAGATAATGGCCAGTGTCATAAAAGCTGAGGAGGAAAAGCACACCATGAACGTCTGAGTCACACTGGATATGAATTTATGGGTTTAATCACCAACTGGCATCTCATTACCTGAGGATATGAAGTAATGCTGAGGGTCACCATGAATACCGACAGTTCCTGGACCCAAGGAGTCTGAGAGTATGTTGACCACAGAGAACGCACCACTCATGAAGCCAAAGCCCAGACCTGATACTGCAAACCAGTGACACACAGAATTAAACAAACAAACATCGGCTGTAGATTGCACTACTAGGAGAAGCATGTGATGATGAATGTTTACCATAAGCTAGCTGCCGCATGGAGATGGGCATTGTGTCCTCCTGACTGAGCGCCAACAGGCCTTCATTTGCTTTCCTGAGAGATACAATAACACATGTTAACAACCACCGTGACAACACCAACACTGAATACCCATCACTGACATTTTAGTTAATTAAAGAATCCATGAAACCTGACGTGGAATTTTTTTTGAGAAATTAATGCTTTAATTAATAAATCAAAATAAACACTGTTCTTTTGAATTTTATCAATCAAATTATCCTAAAAACATGCATCATGGTTTCAACAAAAATATTGATAATGTTTCTTGAGCATCAAATCAGCTTATTAAAATGATTTCTGAGGGATCATGATGTGACACTTAAGACTTCTTTTGCGGTTAATGTGTCTTTTCTTCTCCACCTGTTTTTGTCTCACTCTGCTGAACCAATGTGCATTTCACTGTCCAACTGCAATTTCTAGTATAGCATTAGTATTGCATCCTTCTCATGGGCACTTAATAAGTTTTGACTTTTCAGTGTGAGTGAAATCTCTTTTTTGGCTTATTCCATTCATTTCATTTTCCATTTCTAGCCATCATGATCAATAATAAATCAGTAAATACAAATTTAATAGTAGTTATTGAGATTAATGTGGTTTTAAATTCGTAAAATGTGACTGGCAAAAAAAGTATCAGAAAAATCTACGTGCCTAATAATTCTGCACGCACTGTAATGACTACTGAAAACTCAGCTTTGCCATCACAGGTAAAAATGTTATTTTAATTTAAATGATAATAATATTTCACAATATCACTCTTTTTAGTGCATTTTCATTTGATCAAACAAATGAAGCCTTGGTGAGCATAAGAGACCTCTTTCAAAAACTTTTTTTTTTAATTACTGACCCCAAACTTTTGAATGGTAGTCTTTCATTTACATTTTTTGTGAGGTTTTGATTTTTCCAAGACAAGCAATTATGTTTAAGTTAAGTCATAGCCATGCACCATAATTTAATACTTCTTGGTCAGTTGCAGAGGAGGGACACTTTCATTCTAGAGAGCATTTGATTAGGCAAAAATCTATCTAGTGCAAGATGAGTTATCAATATTTTTGCTTCCATTCTCACAGAAGACAAAGACTGTACATTCAAATGTGTATTAAGCATATAAATGACACCAAAACTTAAATACAAAACATGCCATGCCACTTAAAGGAATAGATCACTTTTAAAAAAAACGTTTGCTGATAATTTACTCACCCCCATGTCATCCAAGAGATCCATGTCATTCTTTCTTCAGTCGAAAAGAAATTAAGGATTTGATGAAAACATTCCAGCATTTTTCTCCATATAATGCACTTCAGTGGGAACCAAATGGTTCAAGGTCCAAAAGACAGTTTCAGTGCAAACTGTAAACTGTTCAAAGGGCTTTAAACGATTCCAGACGATGAATAAGTGTCTTATCAAGCGAAACGATCACTCATTTAAAAAAAATAAATCACAAAGTTTAAGTTTTATAAGCTCAAATGGTCGCCTTGCTCTGTTCTGTGATGCACGTTAGTGACTCTCCTGTTCGAACTTGTTCATCAAAATGATCAAATCTTTTTTCGATTCATTTGTTTAATTCAATGAACAAAATGAACGAATTGACTTAGAAAAAATATGTTCATTTTGATAAACTTAAACTTTTTTTTTTAAATGAGCGATCGTTTTTTGCTTGATAAGACCATTATTCATCGTCTGGAATCGTTTAAAGCCCTTTCAACAGTTTGCACTGAAAATGTCTTTTGGACCTTGAATCTTGACCTTGGTGTCCTTGGCCTTGACCTTGGTGTCCAGTAAAGTGCATAATATAGAGAAAAATGCTGGAATGTTTTTATCAAAAAATTTCTTTTCAACTGAAGAAAGAAAGACATGGACATCTTAGATGACATTGGGGATGAGTAAATTATCAGCAAAAGTTTTTTTTTTTTTTTTTAAAGTGAACTACTCCTAAGTACTAAGTAAACGTCATATCAATGCAGTCAACGCTCAAGAAATCGATATATTTAGGCTTACTGATTATGCATCTCATTTCAAACAAGGAAAATGGATGGTAAATTCTTACTTCAGCAATCTGTAGTAACCATATCTGAACGCCTCCTGAAGCAGAACAGACAGCACGACTCCAAAAATGAGCAGCCCTCTCTGCTGAGTGGCACTGTTCTTGTTGCTGATCTGAACTGTGATGAACCACACAAGAGAAGACAGCAGCAAAGACACCAGCCAGAAGAACGCCCTAAAACAAACACAATCATCTTACAAACACTGCAGGGCTTCCCCATTCCATTGGTTGTTAACGCTCTTGAAGGAGCTGCACAGCCACTCACCCTGTTGTTCTGAACCCATGCTACTGTTCAAAAGTTTGGGGTAGGTAACGTTACGAGGTTTATGTAAGAAGTCTCTTATGCTCACAACACAAGGATGCATTTATTCTATCACAAATACAGTAAACTGTGAAATATTTGGAACAATGTAATGCTGAATAAAAGTATTAATTTCTATAAAAACTAAATCTCAAACTTTTGAACAATAGTTTATTATTTGGTTAACTATTCCTTTAAACATATAAGATTTCAAAACTCCTTCATTCATTCGTTAAAAGTTTTTAATAGTATTCCCAATGAGCTCGAGATCCTAGTGATTTCACAAAAGCAGCAGATGTGAAGGGCAGTTTTCAGCCCAGATGAAGTGCTGTATATCACGGGACTTTCAGCCCATATCTGCCCTGATACTCACCCTGCTATGAGGAAGATCACACGCAGCGGGTCCCGGGCGATTGTAAACAGAAACAAACTGATGGCCGGGCCGAAAGCGATGAACGTACAGCCGAAAAACACCGCCACTGTCATGATGGAGCTCGGCTAACCTGCTAATTCAATCAATAACTACCACTTCACCCTCAGAAGCAATCAACACACGTCATCCATGAGAGAGTCATACGGCTGTCAATCGGTTCGTATAAGCAACATAGATCAACAATTATCGAAACATTTATTGTACCCGTTTTCTTCGAAATAGGTTAAGAGGTTTCAGCGCTGCGCTTGAAACATTCAGCACAGCGGCTAAGGTTACTTCCGGTTCCCAGTCATGTGACCTCATGTGTTTCGGATTCATATCAGTTTTCTTACCGCACCCTCTGAATTCCTTTTTTTTACCACCATTTTTTAACCATCCTTTTGTCCTACGAAACTTGACACACATTTGAACCTACTTTTAAAGCCTATTTTTTTTAACTCTTGATTACAGTAGCCTACAATATGGCACCCTGCAGACATGTAAATGTGTTTTATCTTCATAGTTTATTCAATTTCACTCACATTTAGGTAAAAGGTTAATTCACTTTAATAAGTTATTACAAATATAAAGAATTACTGTGTTGAACATTTGCATTCATACTCTCCATTATTATCCAAATAGTTTACAGTCATTCCATAAAAAGCATTAAAAAATTATTTCTGTCCAAACCTACACAATATAATACAGTATATATGAGCAAAAATCATGACTTAGCCACAAAAAAATAATAAATAAATAAAACTGATCAGCAACAGTACTGTGGAGACATTTTCTTCAAAAGGTATGTAGTTGCCACTCATTCTCAGTTTGAAGTATCATAATGTTTATCGTCCATCAATCAAATGTATAGACCTTTTTCTGAGGCAATGATATTGCAAATTATGATGATTAAGAAGATTAAAACTTGTGCATCAACTCCATAACTGCTATAGTTGTGCTCTGGCCAAATATAAAAGCTCCAGTAATGACAGTCACCACACCCCAACCTGTCGAGAAGATTCTGAAAGAAACAAAATGATAGAGGGAAAGTGTAAAAGAAAGAGAAACTTATCTAATTCAATGCTTAGAAGTACCATCAATATATGATGAAAAATAATATAGTGACATCAATTTAATTTTCCTGAATGTTTCCTCTGGTTTCTTTACACATAAGACAAGATAGATGTTACGCACCTCATCCTGGCATTTACAGGTTCTGTCTGCATGGCAAAAATAAGGCACAGTCCTGCAAAAAATCAGCTTAGTCAATGCAATTTCATGGTCTATTTGTGACTTCTATTTCAAATACATGCTTTAAATTAATCGAAAAATCTGTGGTTTCCTTAAAAACATTCAATAACCTCAATATTATTGACATTGAGGATAATACAAAATAAAGATATGAAGAGCTCTTTTCCAAAACGCTATAAATCCATTTCAATAGTTTTCAGGAAAACTACATTTTTTACCTAGACCCACACATTTTGTGAATATTCAAATTATCCTGTTTAAATGTTTTATTGGTTCAGTCTGAACATTTTGAACAATAATTATTAAATCAAACAACAATATTGTTAATGATAATTTAAAAGTTAATTTTATTTTTTTCCAAAACGCTATAAATCGAAATAAACCTCAAACAAATAGTACCAATTTCAGCATATGCATGAAAAAAACAAATTATTAATACCAATTTCAACATATGCATGAAAAAAGCGAATTATTAAAAATGATCAATATATGATAACGATATTCAAAAAAGGGATGGGCACCCCTCCAGCACATGCACACACACACAGGCTACATAACATGTGAGCAAAGCGGAGCAGCATGACGCTTAAATATAAGTTAAAAAAAAACAAAAAACAAAATAAACATTTCACATTTGTTTTTAATAATATTACATTACTTATTTTTATTATTTCATCTATGTTGAGTAGGCTATGAAAAGGGAACCGCATGAGATTAGTAAGATAGGATCAAAATTCAAAAGCTGCCCAATATCGGAAAATATTTGGAGTGCGTCAGACATGATTTTGACCACTTATTAAGTTTTGTTTTGTAGAAAGCTTGTAAATTTCGTTTCATATAAATTGTATCTTCATTTTAATAAATGTTTCATCGACAAATTGACTGGATTAATACATTAGAAGTAAATATCAGACAATATAATCAGGACACAGAGGCGCGCAGGTGAACCGGAGCGCGTCTCATAATATGAACCGAAACACCGCGATGCTTGCCTCACACAGGCCTGAGAACTAAGCTACAGAAAGCTTTAAATATCTACTTTTAAACAAAACAATTAAAAACTAAAATAAATTGGCAACTCTCTGCGTATGTAGGCTAATTCGAAGTATGCGTTTCTCTATGCGCGTTCACTGCGAAGATGGCGAGTAAGCATCATCAACTTTATCTTTGTTGCTGACACTGAGACCCCGTTTACACCTGGTATTAAAATGCGATCTGTATCCAGATAAGTTATCCGGATAATAAGTACTGATTCCATTTACATGGCCACATAAATGTGTTTTTGCAAAACGGATATAAATCCGATCTTCACCTCCTGCGTTATATGCAGATTTATTGGATTGCACGCCACCAAAAACAGATCTGAGCGGCATTTTATTGATCATCAGCTAATTTCCAAATCAGAGACATCAATAAGAGAGAGTGGCAACAGGCCTGGTAAGATAATTTCGTTTCTTTACTTGAAGATGTGTTAACTGCGTCTGTGACTTACTTTTCGATGTTTGCACGTTGAATAGACGCTCAGCTGCTCATCTGCGGTGATGCGTGTCGCATCTGACTAGGCTATAACATGACATATAGCCTATATAACACGCTCTCACTCGTTTATTTTTTAGCATTTTTGGGAGGAGTAAAATATACATATGTGGTTTCAACAACCAGATTGCGTTTACACCTATAAAGATCCGGACACAATGCGAGCCAGACTACCTCCAGATGTGGTCAGGCAGATTCGATCGCGATCCGATCACAACGCGTTTACACCTTGCATTAACATGCGTTTTTTATTATCCGGATAACTTATCTGGATACAGATCGCATTTTAATACCAGGTGTAAACGGGGTCTGACAGAAAACACTAGTTTATTAATAAACAATTCAAATGTTTCATCCATCATTACTTTTGCCGGTTCTTTGTGGCAAGCTTTATGCATACGTTGAGATGCGGAATATGCAATTAAAAACGCTCATATGGTTTCTCTCCCATTTAATTAAATCAATATATGTGATTACTGATAATACAAATGGCTTAAATGATCTACTACTAGTCGACTAGAAAACTAGGACTCATTTTGAGGAATGAATGAACATAATAAACCTCTGTTCAGAGTGCCGCCGTGCTGGATTGTGTAGAGCGCTCATTGAATTTGAGGATTTATCGTGTTTAGGCTAAAAACAGGGCTGGCGCTTATCGTGGTTTGGAAAGAAACTGTATCTTGCAGTACATTTTAAACAAGGAAATATAGCGATTCGGCATGAAACGTTGATAGAGCAGTGAAAGGGTTCTGTCCGCAGCAGAATGACACGACAAACTCATTTTTTTTAAAAATGTCGTTTAACGCGTTTTGGAAAAGAGCTCTTCATATGTTTCTTGAGCTACAAATCAGTGTATCAGAATGATTTCTAAAGGATCATGTTACATTGAAGACAGGAGTAATGATGCTGAAAATTCAGCTTTGCCATCACACGAGTACACTACATTTTAAAATGCATTTAATAGAAAGGTTATTTTAATAATATTTCACAATATAACCGTTTTTAATGTATTTAATATCCAATAAATGCAGCCTTGGTGAGCATTATTTCAAAAACATTAAGAAATCTCACCAACCCCAAACTTTTGAATGGTAGACTAGAGTATGTGAGCATGCTTGTGAATTGGTGACATTATGATTGTTCCATTGAGTGTGTGTCTCACCAGGAAAGATAAATATAAAGAAGGCACTAATTCCCCCGATTACGCTGATGACCTCACTCATGTCTGGTACACAGATGGCGATGAGAAGAGTCACGATGATCCAGAGAAGTGTTAGTATCAGACGGCACCGACTCTCAAACACAGACGTCATTATGGCCCGTCTTTCCCAAAAGCGCAACATTTGTGTTAGAATCACTGACCTGTGAACAAGACATTGACTCATGAGTGTGTGTATGCAAAGCGAGATTTTTATATCTAATTGTAGTTTACAGTACCTTCCCAAAAGCAAAATTATAGGGTAGATGGTGATGATCGAAATCCCAAACAGCAGCCTAGCAATAATCATCACTACATCATTTCCAGGATATGACATCAGGATATCTGAGGCTACTTCCCGCCCAAATGTAAGAAAACCAAACACACCTGCCATATTGCAACCAAGTGTCAGTCTCTCGGTTTAAGATAATACAGGTAACTAATGCTCTACAAAAATGTGCATATAGAGTATAGTGATTTGACTCACCCGTGAGAGTATAAATAAGCAGGCAGAAAATCATAGATGTGACTGAGATGAAAACCCAATGTGTAATACTTTTGTTTTCCATGCTGCTGTAGATTGCAATACTAGCTTCATGACACTGTAATGTAATAATGATTACAGTGTGTGAGCTTTGAGCAATCCTAATGGTCAAAAATACAACAGAGAAAGTTGCAAATAGTGCACCAGTGATGTAAAGAAATAAATAGAATCTGACCTGGAAACCAAAACAGATGGTGGGAACCACACTGAACATGGAGGCCAATGAGTCCAATCTATTACAAACACAAGAACGCAAATAAACCACTGATATGAACAATGTATGCATCCACACACACAACTTAACGACAAACATGTACATAACTAAACTCACCCTTGATTATGCACTGGTGTGAGGTCTGCTGTGTCCTCATCTTTTAAATAATACTTTGCAATTACAGCTACACTCAGGTATGTAGCAGCCAGAGTTCCTAATACGCTGGCCAAACAACAAAAAGAAACGTTAAGAGATTGGAGATAATGATAGATACAGCAGCTCTACTAATTGGGACAGAAGTGGAAGACCAAAGGAACTATGCAGTCCTTCTCACTCAGACCAGTGGTTGATGATGGTATTATTTGGTATAAAAATATTTAGGGAGTCACAGATGTGTGTGTCAGCATTCAACGCACCTGGTGTATTTCTGGATGCCGATCTCTTTGGGAATAGAGAGTGGAAGGATGATGATGAAGCACATGAGAAAGAGTGCAAAACGGTGATCTGTGTACCAATGATATGGCATCTCTCCTTCTGTGTTTCCCGTCACCGTCTCATACAGAGACAGACACACTGAAACACACAAACAAGGGGATACATATCTTTTTGTTTCATCGTCATGTGTATATACACATTTGTCTGTTACAGTTCCTCACTCTGAAACATAATGACTCATATTGAACCACACACATACAACTTACATTTATCCAGCTGATCCTGCACCACCACCAAAAAGGCCACAGAGATCATGAAGAGGTTGAAAACAAAGCAGATCTCGCACAGATGGCCGATCCTCTGTCCGCACACATCTCGCACCACATCGTGATACGTGTTCTGCCGACTGATTGATGAGGCATAGCCAAGAATGACCAACCCACTTATCAGAAATACCAGAGACACCTGAGAAAGGGAGAAAGATGTTAAATTGCTTTAAACCCCACAATCTACACATTCTTTTTCAGCTGTACCCACATTAGCACTTCCAAGTAAGACTTTATGTGGGTTGTTTCTTTTGCTAAAGGGTTGCATGAACATTAAAAGCTGTTTTTTTCTCTAAAATACCTACCGCCTTTCATTTCATTAGTGGCACATTGTGAAGAGCAGCATCACATTCTCACCCAAATGTGAAAGATACAGACAGAATAATATAAACTATGCATTTGTACATTTCAAAATATGTTCGGATATGTAACATGCTTTAATATACAAGTAGCCTAATCTTTATATTAAATCTTAATCCAAAATTCTACTTTGCTATCTACTGCTATGACAAACCAGCCTTAGCTTGGTCTTAGCTGGTCACTCAGTTAGTTTAGCTGACAAGTTTTTGTTTTGTTTTTTAGGATTATACCTGTGCAAGTACCCTAAATAGCCTAAGTCGCCTAAGAATGATTTGTCCGGATGTTAAAACGCACCATCTCCACACTGATGGCTGTGCTCACGCCGCCGGCCTTTTCAAAAGCCCATGGAAAGTTAAGGAGTCCCGCGCCGAGGGCAGATTTAAGCATGATGAAAATGGCCCCAAATGAGCCCAGCCGCGGGACGTCCGAACCCCGCGCAGGTTTGGATAGCAGACTGATGCTGCGAATACTCTCCCGGGCCAGTTCCTCCATGCTCAGTACGTAAAGACAAAAACAATGCAAAAAGCTTCTCTCTGTAATAATGGAGCCTTATGAGCCCAATGCATCCGCACTTGTCTGCGGTAAAAACACTGTTGGCTGTCCCAAGTAAGACCCCTTAGAAATGTCATCCCAAGGTGAGAAATATTGTAAAGCCTTGCTAGCGTTTGAAACGTTGGGTTCCGAAATGATGGCTCCTCTACTGACCCATGTTAATAGGAATGTGCTTCTGATTTCACACAGGAGCGACCACTGCCTTATCAAACGAGAGCTGCGTTTAGTCGAGAATAGCGGGAATTCACGTCAGGACGGTATTATTTTCTAACGAGAAACACTGCGGCTAAATTCAATTAGAGCTCGTCTTGCGACCCTGTTCGAACCCTTTAAGCAAATATTCATTTGCAGCGCTCACTTGAGGCACGTGTCTCTTTGAAGGGTCAAATCAGAGTTTGTTTGTGCGTGACCTTATACTTTTTCGCGTAATTTACATTTCTTTCTTTTTGAAAGAAATTAAATAGCACGTATTCACTGCATAGCCTACTAAAATAAAAAATCTAGAAATATGAAGCTATCAATAGAAATTGATGTGGCACTCTACAAAGCAAATTGAAACTATTTAAACAAATCAAAGAAATAGAACTTCACAACAAGCAAACTCAGTGTTGTTACATTTGTGTGAGGCGGTTTTTGAAAATGTGTGTCATATCACGCCTATGCGAAAGATGGCGGTACAGCAAAACCAGCAGTGTCTTGTCCCATGGATTTGATTCATAGAACAAGAACTGGACGGTTTCGCTCCTGAACAGTTGTTTCAATAAACACGTGGGTTTATTGAAAATGCCGTTTGATTCAAGACGTATCCGTGGACCGGAGGAGTCGCAGTCCCCGCTGCTCTTTCTTTCCCCAGACAAAGTTCCCGAGGCCAGCAACAGGGAGGGCGTCCGAGGGAATGGAGACGTGCGGCCAGTGTTTGCGCGCTGCGGGCTGATCAGCCAGGCGAAGGGCTCTGCGTACCTCGAGGCTGGAAACACCAAGATCATATGCTCGGTGTATGGACCGAGAGAAATTGAACGTAAGGACGAAACAGACATGAAAACCGGTCGCCTTGTTTGCGACTTCAGGCTCGCGCCTTTTTCCTGTATGAAACGGGGTGCCTGGATCCAAGGCAACGAGGAACGAGATCTGTCCACGACTCTGCTCGAGAGTTTGCAGCCAGGAGTTTGCCTCCACAGATACCCACGCTCGCAGATTGAGGTTAATGTCATCGTTCTGGAGAATGACGGCTCGATTCTTGCACATGCGATGACCTGCGCCTCTTTGGCCCTGGCGGATGGCGGCATTGAAATGTATGATTTGGTGTTAGGTTGTGCGCTGCGGCAGAATGGAAACACGTGCCTCGTTGACCCATCACACTCAGAGGAGTGTGGGAGCTGGCAGGATGGATACGGGGAGAATCGGGGATGCGTCACCGTGGCTCTGCTTCCCAATCTGAATCAAGTGTCTGGTCTGAATGCGGACGGGGAGATGCGGGAAGACACACTGACTGATGCTGTGAGAACCTGCCTTGAAGGCTGTCACAAACTCTATCCGGTGGTACAGCAAGCGCTGACGAGGGCTGTGAAGAGAAAAGCTCCTCCACCTGAGAAATAGACTTGTTTGCCAGGATCTTAATGTTTTGTTTTGAGAAAAATAAATCTGTAAAATGTATTTCACTGCTTATTAAAATGTCTACACTTGTGTTACAATGTAGTATAAATTAAATACAATATCTTCAGTTGCAAATATATTTTCTTATCTTTTATTTTTTTTTTCATTGCACAAGTGTTGATGGTTTTGTATTCAGTCAGTACATTTGCAAATATATAAAAACATCTTTGTAATATGAAGGCTTTTTTACTGGATAAAAGATGTAGAAAAGATAAATTCTGAGGCCGATGCTTTGCTGTAGTGTGTGAAATGATCTGTGATTAAAAGGGTGAAATGGTAAAAATACATACAAAGTAATTAAAAAAAAAAAACTGGCACTTTGGAACGTGAATATTCTCATGATAAAGTTCCTGAATTTGGCAAACAAATTACAATTACCACACACATTAAAATGACAAACTAAAACTTCTAAGTGTGTCACTTGAATATTAGAGAAGATTGTGTTCAAGTAAATCAGCGCAAACTTGAACAGACTTGTATATGTGACTGATGTATCTCAGAATTACATACATTGCTATGCAATGCATGTTTAATTGTGTGACAGCATGCAGGGTAATAAATATGTATCGATGAGAATGTGTTTGATCCCTGCACTGTGTGAGTGCTCTCAAGCACGTTTCAGTATAATGTTTGTGATTTCTGAACGGCTTGCAATTCTCATTGGAATGCCATAATAACCGGTTCCAGGGGTCACGTAGACCATGGTGTGTTCAGAGACACGGTAGAGTCCACAGAAAAATGGATTCATCAGGAATGCCAGGATGGTGAGGGGGAACAGCTGACCAGCATGTGTGTGACCTACACAAACGCAAAATTGCATTTAATTGGTCAGTAGAGGACAAAAGTAGTATGCTCCTAAATTTTCACTTAAATAGGCATTTATAAGACCACAATATTTTAGCTGCTATTTACATACCTGAGAGTACCAGGCTGATGTCTGGTCGTTGCTGGAGGGCCTGTTTGGCAGCATGAGGCTGATGTGCAAGAAGAATAATAGGGCTCTCTGCACTGCAGCCACTAAGAGCTTTCTCAACATCCATGCCATGGCCTGGGTATCTATAACCAAAACAACACTACTGACATGAGCCTAGTGCAAAGCACATGCACCAGATTTGCATACATTCAAATGAGCCTGAGATTATTAACACTGTGGACTGACCGTAACATGCGGGCCTCAAGGTCATCAATGCCGGCAAGGCAAATCCAGTCTTGAGTCCGTTCTGGGCGGAACACTTTCACATTGCTGTTGTGAAGAGACTCAATCCCCATTGAACGCAAGAGCTCAAACCAACCTTCAACATCAGCTGTGTAATAGTCATGATTGCCTGAAAGTCACAAAAATGCATGCCAAAATGTGCACAAAACATTAATTTTAAACATTTTAGTTATTATAAATGATCATTTCCCTATATGTCATTCAGCCACAAGGACTGACCTGTAGCAAAATACGAGCCCAGCCGAGCTCTCATCTGTCCCAGTGGTTCTGCAGCGCTCCTTAATCGAGTTACCTGAGAGTCAGTCAGGTCACCGACAATCACCACTACATCTACAGCAACAAAGAGTGCAATTAAATGTCAAATATGTTAAAGCGATAATCCACCCAAAAATGAAACATTCTGTTATCATTTGCTCACCCTCATTCCGATTGCTAATCTGTCTTCTGTTGAACATTAAGATATTTTGAAGAATGCTGGTAAACAAATAGTTTTGGTTCCCATTGACTTTCATTGTATGAATCAATAAACCAAAAATAAAAAAAAAACAATTCAAGTCAGTAGGAACCAAAACTGTTTACCATCTTCAAAATATCTTCTTTTATGTTCCACAGAAGAATAAAAATCATATGTGGTTGGAATAACATGAGCGGCGAGTAACTGATGATGAGTGGTGAGTAGCTCTCCCTTTAGTATTTCAAACATTAATCTGATGCATGATGTAGTACCTGGGTTCAGCTCATTCACCATATTCACAATGCGCTGCAGTTTGGAGCGGCCTACAGTAGGTCCAAGATGTATGTCGGACAGAAGCACCAACCTGAGCCCGACCAAAGACTCGGGCAGCTTCTCTACTGGTATCTCCACCTCAATTATTCGTGGAGGTTGGGCTGCATTTACCAAACCATACACAGCCAGAATTGCTGTTACTATCAATGCCAACACTGTCTGGCTGGCTGATGCGCTCGCGACCGCATCCTCTTCACCTCGCCTCCGGGAGAGAAGCCCTCGAAGGCGGTTTAGGCAGCCAAAAATAAACAGGAAGAACAGTAGGATGACATAAATCCCCAAACAGGAGAAACTCAAAATTGAAAACCAGTGTGGCTCTGTATCCACGAGGAAAAACATGCATAGGTAGCTCCCGTGCACGAGAGTGAGAAAGAGCAGGACAAGAAGACGCCAACATCTCTGCGGGACAGAAGGAGCACCTCTGGTTCCGCACAGCCGCCTCCCCACGCGTTTCCAGATGTAGAGCGAGCCGAGGAGTAGCAAGGAGTTGATGAAGAGGAGAAACTGAACACGAAACAGCGAAGCGCGCGTGCCTATGTCAACCCGCTCCGAGATCAATGTTCTGGACATGAGCATTGAGAAAAACACAACTCCCGACGCGATTCCGATTTTCCCCTCTGCGGAGAGGCGTCCAAATCCAAACATACTGACCGGCATGTGCTCGGTCACTGACCCTGGGACAGTCTATTACAAATAGGGCGCATTCATTCTTGGCACGTTATAACGTATAATCATGATAAAAGAGTTCGTCATACCTTTCAATTCACGGCCCATTTAAGTCAAAATAAACGTTATTATCTTATGGGACAATGGAGAACAAAACTACTTCCGCAGACAATGACGTGTGATGGCCGCTATGATGACAACATGAAAAATACTGTTGTGGTTTCCGACTAGAAAGGTCATACAGACATTTGCTACACACTCAAACTACAAAAGCGTCCATAACATAATTCGCGACCGTGTAAACAAATGAAATATAAACACGCCAGTCATTTGACAGCGTATCTTCAAGCTCTTCTGCGTGACAGTGTGTGCAGTAATATCATTGGCTCGTCACATTACAGAGGCGTGGCTAATGTGACGCTCTTAATCATGATAGGAAACGAACTGTTAACATGACTCAGTAACGTAACGTAGGCATGTTAGTTAGTTCTGTTAGTTTTTACATTAAAACACCATTTCCTGTCTCAGTTTATGCTTTTGTTCTTACTTACGTTATCACCCAAGAATGTTTTTTTTTTTATCATTGCCTACCTTTATTTCCAACTGTCACTCCTCACTAAATGTCCAGTATTATTTTTTCATTATTATTTTATTTACAATTTGAAGCTATTTATTTGTAAGGTCAGAAAACTCATGAGATCGATAATGTAATACAACAAAACATCCTCATTTGGATTTATAATTAAATTAATAAATATCTGGGTTGATGTTCCTGGAAAAGAATGACACTTTGTATTTTTGCTTTTTTCTTGTCACTCAGTGTCAAATAGAAAGTGAAAAAAAAAAACATTAATTTAAATTTTAGGAATGGGGTCATCATTTTTGGAGGACCATGACATCAAATGTTTGAACTACCTTGATCTAGTTACTAAACCAGAAAGCACACACCTTACATGCATTCAAATGTTGGTAAGCAGCATAGCACCATGCAAGAGAAAGGAAATGTGTGAGAATTTTTCAAATTCGTTTTCTGAGGTTTGCAGCAATCTGCTCGGTTCTTACCATTTAGACATGATTTCCTGTGTATTTGTGTTCATGAGTGGATCCTACTGTGTGGATAAGAAACGACATAAATAAGCACAACAAATGCATGAGTACACGATAGAATTGCTTTTATTGTTAAAGGAGCACAGTGTCACAGCACACATCACAGCCTTTCATTTGCAGCAGCTTGTGTCGCACGATTTCTCCTTATCCTTGCGCGCGCTCTCGCATCCCTTCGTGCCCTTATTACTGCATTCAGATGGACAACTTCCGCAACCTACCGGGTCGAAAAGGGCAAAATTGATTTAATTCTGCAGAACTATCTCTGGGTGAAAAATTGTTTGATTATCCAAAGCGTTAGTTATTCGACTCACTTTTCTTGCTATCTGCGCACGCGCAGTTGGTGCATTTGCAGTTTTGTCCGCAGTTACAAGATCCAGCTACAACAGACAGACATTTCCACATCACAGACCGCATTTCTTGCTAGCATTGCTTAAGTTACATACATATTTATATTTGAATTATGTACTTACTTTTAGAACAGTCACACGGGTCCATTTTCCCACCTTAATTTCAACGAACGTATTCTTGGAAAATCTGTCTGGAAATGGAATCGCTCGTTTGTGCGTCACTATCACTTGTGAACGTCACATGGAGAGTGTGAGCGCGCTGATGAATAGACATCTCATTGTTGTCATGTGGGCATTAGACACATGTAAAAAGGAAAGCAAGGCATCCTAGCAAACAATTTAGATAATCAGAACGTTCTGGGAACGTTAGTTTTTGGTTAAAATAAACCTCCCTGTAAAGATCTGGGAAGCTTGGTTTTGGGTACAAAAAGAGCCTAAAAAATGTCCTCAGGGCGTTCATATTTGGTTCCCAAAAGTAACTAAATGGGAACCATATTGTGAACTTAAGGGGAGCGTTCTGTATTTGCTGAGATATAATATTCTTCTCTTTCACACACACACACACACACACACACACACACACACACACACACACACACACACACACACACACACACACACACACACACACACACACACACACACACACACACACACACACACACACTGATGTTATTTTATGTTACTACTGTACTGTAATAATTATAATTATTGATAACTGCAGGTTAAAATACACTAATCACATCATCAAGGGAGGGACAAACAAATCAATGCACAGCCAGTAGTTGGTGCTAAAGTGTTTTCTTTTTTAATGTAAACATTTCATTGGTCGGTCAGAAGACTAAACCCAGCAGTACAGTGCAGTATCACCCCAAGGGAGTAAAGGAGAACATTCAGTGCACCAAACAAAAAAAAAGGAAAAAAAAAAATCCACAGCGGAGAAAAAGAGAAGGGAAACGGGAAAAGAAATCTGGGTTAAGTAACAAGTCATGGTTGAATAAAGAGTGTGCATGCATCACACACGCATCTGTACACACTCTCACACGTCATTACGTCATCAGTTGAAGAGAGAGAGATAAAAAGAAGCAATAGCTCATTCGTTCAGTAATTCAGTTATATACAAGTCTGAATTACAGTATTAATATTTATGCTGTTCTCAATCTAAAGTCTGCAAGCTAGTTTGTTTGTATTCGTAGCCCGACATTGATAGGGTGCACAAAGTGTGGGGAGATACAAAATATGTAAATACATGCGCTTATAATTATATAAATAAATAAACTACAGAATAATTTATACAGAAATTAACAGTTTTTGAACTATTTGTGCTCATGTTGAGTGAGAATGTTGTCAACATCACACTTTGTAAGAGGCTTCGTTTGCTGAAAGGCATTTTATGTCACAGCCTGAAGCCAGTGAGCAGACCCAATAAGGGGCGATGCCAGGTCTCAAACAACTTTGGCTTAAGAGCTGCCCCTGGACAACATTCAGTTTCTGAAATGACATTCGGCTCTGCTAAATGATTCACCTCATATCTTGCTCTCAGTCACAGACGTGTCTGGATCTTAAGAAAAGAGCCACAGATCCTTTCAGGGTTTAGTTTAGGATCATGTCAGCACTTGGAAGTCTCTTACACAGCAGCAAACCTTTGTGTGTTATCACCTGACAAACACTCTCACTCGTTGTGACTGACACTCACACACATGCACTCATGCTTAAAGCATCTATGCCCGGCCAAACACTCATTTTAGACTATACATGCACACCCATTTGTTATTTACTCCAGCAATGGACTGACGGACAAACTACAAAAGAAAATAAGGGATACATATTCTGAACAAAAGACAAAAACTGACAGAGTGAAATGAAATAAGGGAGTGCCTTGGCCAAAGTCACAGGGGTGTCAGTTCAGTCACTTGTTACCATTTCGAAGGGCAACAAGTGGAGTCGAAGCTCAGTAGAGGCCACAGCCACGCAGGTTATTGGCGATGATGATGTCAGTAACAGCATCAAAGACCACTTGGATGTTTCCTGTGTCTGTAGCGCAGGTTAGATGACAGTAGATCTCTTTATTAGGAGAGCGATTCTTGCTTTCAAACTGACCTTGTATATAGGAAGCCGCGGCTTCGAATGTATTTGGGCCTGTCGGGAAAAAAGATGAAGACATGATGAGAAGAAACTCATGAGTGTTCAAGCCTTTTTCATACTTGGGAATTTCTTTGTGCATGGTTGTTGTACCTGTGTATTCTGGGAAGCAGATGTTCAGGGGAGATTTTACAATCTTTATTCCAAAAAGGTCCTTCTTATTGAGGAAAAGGATGATGGACGTGTCAACAAAGAACTTATTGTTACATATAGAGTCAAAGAGCATAAGAGACTCATGCATACGGTTCTGCAAAGAAGAGAGAGAAGACACTGAATCAAACATATTTGCATTTTTGGAACGGAATAATTAGCATAAATAAATCAATACATTTTATTTTAAAAATAGTTGTTGTTGTTTTTTTTATAAAACATATATATGGTTGGTAAAAACAGTAGGATTCCTCGATAATTTGGTGATTCAAATCGATTTTAGGATGACCGAGAACTTAAACTTGTTGCATAAAGTTAATTTACCATTAAATGTCATAATGTGAGTATGCAAGCTGTCTAAATGGTCTGAGTGTAGTAGTTCACCGTGGTCTCGTCTTCATGGAGCATTTGGTCGTATCCACTCATTGCCACACAGAAGATAATGGCTGTCACATCCTCAAAGCAGTGAATCCATTTTTTCCTCTCTGATCTCTGTCCCCCCACATCAAACAGCCTGGGGACGAAACACCGCACACTTTCAGGACACATGCCAAGCCATGTACACGCATGTGTGCACACACACAAAACACTATCAAATCAAGTCCAAACTCATAATGCATGTTAAGAAACAAAATAGGTCGACCAAAGATTTTAGATTTGTCCCGTCTAAAATAGAATGAAAAGAAATCTTAATTTTCCAACTCCTTATGTCTTTTTCACAAATAGAATTTGAGGACAATTATAAAGACTTAACATCTAAGAGCTATTTTTTATTCAACAATTGTTTTTATAAAATTAAAATGTTTAAAAAAACTTTAAAATTTAAATATATGAGTCAAGTCAGATTTGTATAGGACCTTTTTGTACAATAAACTGTTTCAATGCAGCTTTGCAGAAACTCATATTAACAGGTTTATAATGTCTTATAATTTACTAAGCAGTTTTAGGGATGGGTGATATGACAATATATATATGAAGAGTTCAGATGCAAAAGCCTCTAAATACCATTTGAAATTTTCTTCTTTAATGATGATTTTTATCAAACTTGTATATTTAAGTTCAGTAATTTCACTTAAAGTCCCCGTGAACCGGAAGTTGCAAACGATTTTTCTCCAGTGCTGTGACGTATTTCCAAGTGAAACGGAATATTGAACAGAGGGCAGGGTTTTACTCTAGCGCTCCCCCTCTCCATCTCTCGCTCATAGCAAACTAACGGTTTGAGGGGAGTGGTTAAGCGTTTCCCCACCCAAACTGTGAAACCTACGTCATCAGAAAAAGAAACCGTTCCAGACCGGAAGTAACTTTTCAGATTTTGATTCTAAGGTAAAACATTTTTTTAATATATATTCACTTGCACGGATTAATTGTTCACCACAAGACTAGTAATATGCTCTAACAAAGTAAATAGGTTCAATTTTGATTTCACGGGGACTTTAAATAACAATTAATAGGTAATTATCATTGCCATTTAAGTCAAATCACTAAACTTAAATATACAAGCTTGATAAAAATGATCATTCTAGAAGAAAATCTCAAATGGCACTTAGAGGCTTTTGCATCTGAACTCTTCATATATATATATATATTGATGAACCAGCTGAGATTCAGCTCTATATATTTACTAATATTATGCATATATGAGTTTGATAAGGTGCTATAACATTGTAATTGCTATTATTGAGAGTGTTAGATACAATCGTACAAACACGATACAAACAAAAAACTAAAAAATACAAAAAATGCCTTTAGGAGGTCTTATTAGTCCTAAAAACCTTATTTTTAAATTCACAATAAATAATACATGTAATTCACATAAGAAATGCATAATTTAAAAGATACCTAAAGTTAAGGTTCTTGAAGGAAAAATTTGTCTCAACGATGCCAGTAGTTTTGACTCTGGATCGGAGAATATCCTGTTCAGTGGGGAGGTAATCTGGAGAGCCAATGCGCTGCAAACTGTCTAGGTAACTGAAACACAGAGCATCCATGTGCATTCTTAAATAACGTATTATGGTGTTGAACATTACACCTGACAGTTGTGACTACACGCTCATTACATTTATGTGTGTATAACAAAGGGACTCACTATTGGGCGGAGTCATTAAGCTGATACTCTCGAGAACGGTTAAAGCAAGCTTGAGTTCCAGCATCAGACCAAAGATGTATCATGGCAGCCAGCAGTTCTGTTGAGTATGGCTCTGTGTCTTCCATTCGACCGACCACATCAAATACCATCTTAGCATCTGCCTATAAACATATGAAAAAGTTTCAGGAAACATCCTGTTTAATAAATACAAGTGTGTAGAAGGACACCCATTAAATGTGCACTGCTTTGGCAACCACAATGATTTATCCTAATATCATGCACTAGGTGTCACTGTAAGTCAGTGCATCATGTGAGAAGGAGTAACACAAGGTGAGGTCAATCACCAGGAAAATCTAATGCAAACATTAAAGAACACTGCAAAACAAAACAAGCGTGCACAGCTACATTAACAGTAGGTACATTAACTGTTGTGTTCTTTTTTCTTGTATTATTGTATCAATACAATTCTATTATTAAGAATAAAGAGGTTAGAACAACTTTTAGATTCAGTAATTGCTTTGAAAATGGATCATCTGAATATTATCAATATCAATCTGAATATTTATGGTAATCTTCTTCTATCACATCACTTATCTATGTGTAGTGTATGAGTTCTAAAGTCGTGTGTGCTGCATGTGTATATATACATACATATCGGTCCTTGTCTGCGTACTCTATACCAAGAGTTTCCATGGCTCGCAAGATGGAGGCAAGGCTCTGAAGGGTGTTGCTATAGACCACAGGTTTAAACTGCTTTATATCATCTCCAGAGAACCCATCTTCATGGATAATCCTGACGCAAAGGAAAAGCCATTATAGACACACGCAGCATATAAAGGACAGGTCAACAGAACTGACAATAATGTGCATATATCTGTAAGACTGGGATATGTGGTGGCAAAATAAGTATGAGTAGAGATTATTCAATAATCTGTTTTGTGCTTCTACAAAAGTTGTTGGTCACTTTAATATTTTAAACCACAAGTTAAACTGTAACTATGCAATAACAGTATAACTGTAATAAAAAAGTTAAAGTGCAACTAGTAACAGTGTATTTATAACCTCAAAATATATGGAAGCTCTGAGATTGAGTTGTGTGTGCTTAGAAATAAAACCTGTGCAATGATGCTGGTGCATTTAAATTATCTGTAATATGGTATTTTATTTAACTAGGCATTTAATAAAGCAATGCATTTGATGAAAAATGCAATGATTGTATATGTATGTGCATCTGTAGTTATGAAAATGTAAGGTTAGGTGGCATAGTCCCGGTAAATCCGTTTAATGGGCGGATAACGCTAAACGAGACCGCAGGGATCAAGCACTAAAAGCCACCCATTAAGATTAATACAGAGAAAGAGTCTAATGCCTCACACACACAAACTCTCTCACTCTCTCTCTCTCTCTCTCTCTCTCTCTCTCTCTCTCTCTCTCTCTCTCTCTCTCTCTCTCTCTCTCTATCAAACACACACAGAGGGCAAAATGAACACAAGGCCCTAATGCATAACATGGAATAACACACGAAAACTGGTTCCAGATTGAATGCAATGACAAAAACGTGAAACATTAAGGAACTTTGGAGCCCAGGACGGTAAAAACAACGGCAAGGCACACGCGCACTCTCAAGCTTCACTGCACACATGAGACTAACACTCACTCACTCACTCCCTCACTCCCAGCGTTGTCTCTTGGGGTGGTGAGCTTGTGTTTCAGCACTACCACACAATGAACAGCGCGAGACAAACAGTTCCCAACCCTTAACCGCCCCAAAAAAGGCCCAAAATCACGGAGTATGTTAAATAAAACGCACTTACTTCATCTGTTTGACGATGGTGCTCTTCCCCGACTCCCCTCCGCCTGCAGAGACACAGGCTATGTCAGTGTGCTGTCACACACACACTTACCTGCAGCATCCTCCTTATTCAATGCACTCATTGCAAATCGGCCAGTGAAACCTCACGACTTACCCAGCAGCAGTAATTTGACTTCTCTAGCTGCGCTTAATCCGTCTTCCTTCAGGTTTTTTTCGATCGCCCTGCTCCGGTCCAGAGCCGCGCGCTCCTCGGCACTTAACGTGCATCCCATTGCAAGACCGGGAGTCGGGACGCGCGAGAGCTGAATCCTAAATATCCGTCTCTGTCCCACACTCTCTCCTTCCTCGCTTGCTTAGTCTGCCGAATGTTGCTAAAGCATCCAAGCCGAATTGAGGTCAGGAACAGGCTCACACTCCGGCCTCTTGGTTGGGAGGAGGTCGTCCTGCTCGCGCTCCGGATCGAGGGTGTCTATTGGGCGGCGGCAGTGACAGCTTGCACGAGCTCGTCTCATCCTGTAGTTCCCTCCTAATGCGCGAGGGGCAAACCCCTCTCATCGCGCTGACGTCACAGGAGGAGCAGGGCTCGGCCACATCTGTTTTGTGGCAGTCGAAATAAAACACACTGAGCTTGGTTGATATATGTCATATTGGATATTTCCCACGTATTTGCACATTTATTTTACTTATCTTTTTATGTTTTGTGGTATTGCAGCAGCCATGTAGGCCTATTTATGTATTGTGCATAGTGCACAGCCTTCCTCCACAGGGTGGCTGTTTCAGCATGGTAATATGGGTGCCATGTTTGGATGTTTCTCTTATTTTGTATTTCAATAAAAAGAAAAATATCTCGAAATCAAACATTTTAATTGCTTTGTTTTCAATCATTTTGTGATGTGTTACTTATTAAGGGCTTAATGTATTCAATAATTAATTTAATACAATCAGTATTGCTTTTAATTTAAACTAATTAATAAAACAATTATGTTCTTTTCCCAGTCTATTAAGTTATTACAGACTGGGAAAAGGTCCAGTCCTTTAATCTGACTGGCTTTGAGCTGGGTTACTGGGTTGCTTGTCCACTCACATACAGTATTCCATTCCAGACCGGCTCTTAATCTGTGCATCACTTGGACTCTGAAACATGCAAAAAAAAAAAAAAAAAAGAAAACCTCTGAACTTTCTTCATTTGGCAGAAAAAAATCATTTTTATCAGAAAATAAATAAATAAATTAGTCATTATCAATACATAACTGTTGAATAAATGCATGTGTGTGTGTGTGTGTGTGTGTGTGTGTGTGTGTGAAACTCTCACCCAAAAATTTAAAGTTGTTCTAACCCTGTTTGAATTTCTTTCTTCTGCTGAACACAAAGGAAGATATTTTGAAGAAGTTCTGTTTGTTTGCTTTCCTTTTTTTTAGGTCAATGCAGCCCATCAGCAGTTTGGTTACCGACATTCTTCAAAATAATCTTCTTTTGTGTTCAGCAGTAGAAATAAATTCATACAAGTTTGGAACAACTTAAGGGTAAATTATGTCAGAATTTACATTTTGGTGAACTATCCCTTTAAATGCACCAACACAATGATGGGACAGATCATATATAATTACATGTATAGCCTATGTGTATGAGACATTGAAAAATGTCTATATCACAAAAAACTATTCTTGCAGAATTGCATTATCTTCAAGATTCCTGTGATCTTCTCTAATGCCACACCAGTTTGATCAGTCATTCAATAACTCGTATTTGTGCAGTTATGCTTTCAACTAATACATTCACATTCATAATTTGAAGATACTTTAAACAACTTAAAGTGCATTCAAGATGCACATTTTATACATTTTCCCTAGGATCCAAACCCATAACCTTGGTATTGCATGGGTTGTTTTATTTATATAAAAGCATCCACAACAATGGAGCAGATATTCAAATATATAATAGAAATGTTCATCCCCAACCCAATCCTCCACACACACTCATAGTCTTACAGCTCTAAAAGATTCCTGTGGATTTCTCTAATACCTAACCCCTGGCATATGAGCCAGATGTTCTGATGTTGGATTTCAACACATAATAATACTTTAAGAGTTTGTGCTTCAGCAACTGTTCTATGGGTGAAATGCTTTGAAAGATCACTCAGTGAGTTTTTAAAATCTACTAGTAGTGCAAATCTCTGGAAATATCTTAGGATATCCTCTCTCATGACTTTAAAATTAATGCATGCACATACATTAGAAATGGTATTATTATTTGGGTTTGTTGGGGAGATTGTCTCCATTTGCACTTTTTTAATATTCCGATGCATGGAAAAATGCATAGACTTATTAGGTAAAGATGAATATCTGACTGATTCTTTGAAATGTGCCCATGGGGAGGGGAGAATGGAATACATAACTTTAGTTTTAAATTCATGTCAAGCCCAGCCCTAACTGCAAAGGACTGTTCACTTTCTGAACACACCAGTGACACACACAGGTCACTCTGATGGATTACTTTACTGAGATAAGAGCAATATCGAGCCACATAGCCTGCTTAACATGCTTTTATCTTTATTACCAGGGTGGAGACAAAATCACAGACCCTCCTCCACAAGCTATTACGTCACAAGTATGTTGAAATGTCATTGCATAATCATATTTTGAGTGAAATAAACTAAGCAAATCTCTATATTTTTGGAAAATGAAATCCTAAATAAAACATTTAACAAAACACGACCAGGCATGTAACAACAGAGATTGTGGAATAACATTTTCTCTGTTTTTTAATCACCAGGTTTTTCGTAAATGAAAATGTTAGATTTCACTCTAGAAAACGACTAGGAGCTTCTAAATCCCCATAACTAAAATGAATATGATCTCTTAACCAAGTAATACTTTAATGGCAGGTCTGCATAATGCTTTAATGGAGAAAGGCCTCATCCATTTCATTAATCTGACCGCCCTCAATAGATACCATTAAGCTAAAATTAATTTCTAAGAATAATGGCATCTCATATCAGATCCAGATGTTGACTTTTTAATTTTTGTCCAACTGATTTTTGACTAATGACGCAACTTCTTTACACCTACACCTTTTTCTTAGATCAGGAAACAAACAAAAAAAAACACGGAAATCTTCACTCTTATCAGCAGTAGACTTAGTAACGTAAGGTTGGTGTTTATTTATAGAACTGCAGAATATTGATTTCAGGATTGAATTTCTAAAAGCAATACACATTCCACAAGGGTTCTATAATAATGCCTCATCTCATATTTATCCTTCCTAGTCTTTTTTAAAAAATGAGATCAATATAGTTGACCTATACTCAGAGGACCAGTTTTATAATCAGATTAAGCATGCCTTTGGACTAGAAAGCAGTTGATTCAGAAACTTTATTATGAAAGTAATCTATAGTTCAGTAATATCCTCAATATGAATAACAGGAATCTGGTCCCCAGAATTTAATTTTTAAAGTGGTTTCAAGCTCTGCGTTTACAGTTGTCTTTAACGTATGAGCGATTGTATTGTACCGATAAAAAGTTAGCTCTACTGTAGCAACGGCCCTGCCACACTAAGTGCCTACTAACAGTAACACATCTCCCTTCAATGCGGAAGGCAGTTCAAATTTCTTGAAGTTAAAGTGATGCTGTTTTTAGCATCTTCCGTTTGGTGCTCTTATGCACATAACGACTCTAAGATAAAGATGCAGGCAGACAGACAGTGTGGAGGAAAAATCTGGAAACATGCATGAAATTTGCATGAAAAACCCTTTATTTAAAATGCTTTTCATTTTGGGCAGATGACAGTTGATTGTGAAAGAATTTCAAGTAGGAAACAGATAGAAATTATAAAGGTCATGATGAAAAAAATTCACATAAATGAGAGCACACACTCTTCAAATGTAGCTATATGTCTTGATAACAGTCACACGTACAAAAACAACACACACACACACACACCATTCATTCATTCATTCTCTTACAATCTTAATCTCGTGGCTGAATACCCAACATGATCTCTCCCATGCTGGTCAATTTGGTCTCCTCTAGTGCACTGATAAGACGGCTCAGTTTGGCACTCCTGCCCTCTGACTGGATGAAACGTCCAAGCAGTTGATAGGCCTGTTCATAAAGCCCTTCCCTCTCATACTCATAAGCCAGATTGTCGATTGCAGGGCCTTTTAAGGCACGGCAGTTCTTTTGTAAAGCCCGCCCCACTCGTTTCCAATCCCGTCCCACATGAGCAGCAAACCGTTGCTGGTCTGCTGAAGTCAAAGGTCTATCATCTAAGATAGGGAAGGAGGAGAAAAAAATATTTCAAACATTTTAAACGTGAAAACTAATCTGTGATCATAGAAATACAAATGTAAAATGTTTAAACAAAAGCTATACACTCAGTAAAGCATCATTACATACAATTAAAAACTCACCGAAAACTCTTTTCTGAAACAGAAAGCAGTTCCTGGGGAGCTCCTGCGTTGGTTGACTGGGAGGACCGTAGCTGTTCTGCAGCTGCTGCTCCAACTGTGTGACCTCATCATCTCGCAAACGCACAGCCTACAAGACATCATCTGTCAAATCAACTAAAAGCACAGCATTCAGAAACATGTCCGAACCATTATTTTTTACATCCATAGAAGGTAAGGTTCCCGCAGCAGCTGTTTAGTTCAAAGAAAAGAGATTTAACTTAATTCCACTGGGAGCTTTACAATAAAGACATGTTCTCACTGTTTTCATCCGAGCAAGACTGATACTTCAGATACCGTTTCCAGACACAAAGTCCATGATGATATCACGTCAGAGAAGGACAGCTTTATAGAGCAATACATTTAATATTCTGCAATATTATTGATTTGACTGCACTGACACTATCGGATGAGAAGTGGATTGAGCTGGATGATGACATCATATCTTTATAGAGGAACGGAACTCATTCCAAGTGATGAACTTTAAACAGTTATTGAACTGAACTGAATCAACACTGAACTGATTTCAACAGAACAATGGAACTATTGTCTTTGCAAGCTGCTTTACAGCAGAACTGAATTCTGTTTGCATCATTGATCATTGTTTACCTGTTTAATACTGTATGAAACTGTATGTGCTATATAAATAAAGGTGACTTGACAATACAAGCAGTCAGAGGCCTTTTGCTAATACCCCTGATGTTAGAGTTTACTAGTTTGGGCATAAGATGGCTCATGAGAAGTCACTTAGTCAAAAGCCAAACTGAATTCATTTCAGTGGTGTGCGTTTTATTTTTGTGTCATTTGTTTGTTTTTTTCAGCATCAATCCTGACTGAAAACTGATAATGAGTCGGACCGATCCAGCCAATCGCAAAACAGCATTGTGGGTGCAGACTTAAATCTCAGTCTGACAACAAGCATTTCTGATTTTACATTAGTGAAATGCAAAATAGGGAATGAAAAAAGGTTTGTCAAATCCCTTGTGAATAATTAGCCAAATGTTTACTTGCAGGTGAGCCTGAAAAAAATTAAATCAAAGAGCTTCACATCTCCAACAATTTAAATACTAAAAATGAATCACAGTTCTGTTCTGACAGGGTTGCAGGCAGGTGAAAATGTATGCAAATGATAAAAATGCAACCACATAATTGTAAATAGATTAAAATAAATGTGCTTATCGACATTTAAAAAGGAGTAAATGCTTCCCATGCCTTTTGTTGATGACTTCAAGTCCAACCAATTCAACTCTAAAGCACAAATTAGGCTTGACAGTTGTGTGACATCCGCTTATCCTCAAAACAATCAATTTAGAAGGAAACTTTCATTTTATATTTTTATATTCATTTCAACCTATGTTTTTGTTGTATTCATGTTAAGAATACATTTCAATGTTTGATTGCATGCCATTCTGGTTTTGTGTTAAATCTTCTCCACTTAAAATGTCTAAAGTGAAATGAAGGTACTGAAGCTACAGCTGAGAATTACTGCACCAAAATGAAGCTTTTTAGTTGTTTTCACTGTCATTGAAACATAATATTACAATACAATAAGTTTAACTTGCTTACACTACACAGTTGTTTCCACCACCACATTTACCACACAACTATAGTAAACTGGTACATACGTACATACATAACATTCACATATGTTATTTAGTATAGAAAACCTGACATGGAGGCAGTGGTTTGAAACATGCTTATATGACCAAATCAACTATGAACCTGTAGTTTCTTCTCAGAGCTGAAAATGTCAAGAACATGCTCAATTAAAATGTCTTATGTGCTGTCCTCATTGAAGCTGTGAATTATATAGCTTTACCAGAGGCTTGAAAAGCCCCTTCTGAATCTGGGAATTCCCAGCACCATTTACACTAATGACCTTTTGGCCTAAATATGAACTTTAACTAAATATAAATCATCCTGAAATTTATTTTTAGAAAAGAATCTTAGGATATTCCCACTCAAGACTTAAAGAAAAATGCACATAATATTCACACACTTAAAAACTGTGTTATTCTTTGGGTTTAGCAGGGAGATCGTCAGTGTTTGCACTGAAGACTAAAGTGCATTTAAATATTGAGAATATTTGATGCAGAATGGAAGACGCACATGAAAATTTCATGCAATTAGCTGCTCGTAAAAGTAAAGACCGGTACAAAGCCTGGCGATCAGATCACCATAATCAAACACACACGTACCTGTGATTGGCGTATGTGATCCAGACAGATCTCTAGGTCTTGAAGGTTTCGGTCCAGTGTATATATGCCTGCCTTGAGCTGTGTTTCCATGACAACCCCATCAAGAAGAGTAAGAAGACGTGAGGCATGCTGGGACAGAAACTGAGCGAGTGAACCACATGCATAGCTCTCCAGGAATCGCTGACAGGGAGGCACGGACATGAATTTAAGTTCCACCCCAAGAAAGGGATCAGCATCGTGCAGTTTTAGGATTTCGTACCCCTCCAGTCCACCGACAGAATCTGAATCAAAGACATTTAGAATTGCATAATTTGCAACCCAAATACGCTGTTAAATCTACACAAAACGCCATACTCTTTTAATTCCAGTATAATTTGATTAACTTGATACTTGGTGGCAAGTACTATCAACTCTTACCTGTAAGGGTGAGTTTAATAACCTTGAACACACTGAATTTCCCTTGTTCGTTTTTGTAAAGTGATAGAAGGTTGTGTTCTGGACTGCTACACCCCAGGAAGAGTACAGCACACCCTGAAAATTCACGATCATTGGTGTTGCTGTCATTTAACCTCTGCAGATGAAGATGAAATCATTCACACACATAGTTAATTCACATACAACAGCAACTGGACAGACACAAAATTAAACACAATGTACCCTGGTGTCTATACTGTCCATCTTCTGGTCAAACTCTTGTCTCAAGTCCTGTGAATGTGAACAAACAAAATTAGTTTGTAAAACACACTGAACGAAATTGTGAAAACAAAGCAGAATTCCTTGTAGATCTAATTAGACTAGCACAAACAAACAAACAAACAAAAACATTATTTTGTGTTTCCAGCATGTAACCACTTCCTTATAAGGTTGCGAGTTTGATGGTCGATGCTGTTAAATAAATGGGGTCAGACGTGTTGGTGGTACTTGCTACGGATATGCGATGCACATGTTTACAGGTAATGGGATGCGTCAAATTACAAACTTTTAATTATTATTTAACATAGTTTTAACATTTTTGAGAGGTCAATGGATAAAATATATACAAAAGCTCGCTCGCTCGCACGTCTCGTGGCTTTTATTTCTATAAATCTTACAGCTCACGTGAACAAAAGTTTAACATAACACAACCCTGCTTACCTCCACTTCACATAATAGCGAATATAAAACCTGCGCTTTGTTATATAACGTTACATTATATGTTACTTACACAACGATTTGGTGAACTTTGTCTGAATGATAAGGAAGTCTAAAAGGCCTGTAAACAGACACGAAGGAAACTTTCGAGGTGTCGATGCACTGTCTTGGCCGCTACTAAGACACACCCACTAAAATATGCAAGGATCTAATTGGCTAAATGTCTAGCACATTTTATGGTGATTGGCTAAAAGCTCGACATCTGTGTTCAGCGCTGTGTTTAACAACGGAACTCGTGACGCAGGAGGAAGTACAGAAGTTTGAGAACGTTGTTTTTTTTTGGAGTCTGACAGACATGTATGCAGACAGCAGAATCAACTGAGGTGTTTTTTGTTATGATATCAGATAACCTTTTTGTTTGCGTATTTTAACTGGCGGCTGACTGGGCTCGATTGGTAATGGAATGGATCTGCCAGAAGAGATCCTTGCACATATCTTTTCTTTCCTGCCTTTACAGGACAAATGCAACGCATTTACTGTTTGTAAGGCTTGGTCAAATATCATGACACATCCAAGCTCATGGAGAGATACTGAAGTCAGGTAAGAATCCATGCCATACAAGGAAACCCATTTTACTACCAAGATGTTGCACTTTTGTATCTTGAGAAACGTAATGGAGATCTTAATTATATTGCAAGTATCAACTTAGTCTCATGTTTCTCTTAAGAGTTCTCAGGAGAAATAATAATACATACGAAGTGTCATTTGCTCAATTATTAATTTTTTAATGCAAATATTACATTGTTTGACGTCTTTGTTATGACTAATAGTGAAGGCTTTGTGCCATACACAACTATATTCTTTTGTCACATGAACAATAAACCGCATTAAGTAATCATACCTGCCTGCCTAGTTTGTTTTACATATTTTATCTTTGTCTTAGGTGTGAGTCAGGAACCAGTGTCCCTGAAAGATATTCTGCTCTTCTGTCATTGGTCAGAAATTTGAAACTGATAATGAGTCTGACCGATCCAGCCAATCGCAAAACAGCACTATGGGTGTTGCGGCAGGCGATATCCATGGGCGATGGGCGGCTGCAACTTGCAAGGACTTTCCATCTGTTGTGTGGGGAACACACCCCTCTTTTATGCTGGTCAGGACTTGCAGCAAGGCTTAGTGGACATACTGACGAATGGGTCGTCCCTGACCCAGCTTGACCTAAAGGGTGTGCCCTTCACCCTCAGCGACTCCTTCGTCAGGAGCGTTGCCATGCTTTGCCCTGCTCTGCAAAGTCTTTATGTCAACAATCATTCTTTGGTGTGTGGCGTCAACGCGGAGACTCTTAGGCAAGTGCTGAAGTCCTGCCAGTCGCTCAATGTTCTTGGAGTTTTTCAGGCTAGTCTATCACAAGACGTCTTTAAAGATCTCATGCTGCCAGAACGACCAGCATTAAAGAAACTAGAGCTCCGTTGTGAACGCTCACTCAAATACACCGTGCCTCTCTGTGACCAGATATGGTTAGAGTTAAAACTGAGACACCCACGTCTCTGGGTGGAACTTGAGCTTGACCACACCCTACCTGAATTGCACGTCCCTGGGGTTCTGCAGCCCAGCATCCCAGTTCGATGTCTTCGGCTGCTTACTTGGACATTGCTGTTGAATGAGGTTCAGATAGTCGGGCAGAGCTACGCAACCACGCTAGAGTTTCTTGAGCTGCAAACGACTGCGTCTTCTGAACTAAACCATGTGTTGATAGCTTTAGCGAAGCAATGCATTAAGCTCCAAGAGGTTCACTGTTATTGTGTGGTCTCACAAGAAGTGATAACAGCGTTCATCACAAACTGTCCGAATCTCTACAGATACACACTCAAAATACACAAAGAGGCTCACCCCTGGACCTGTACAAAACTAAAGTAATGGTCTCTAGCACTCTTCACACATGATTAGATAATGTAATTCATACACTAATCACTATGTACTTTTTCTTTTGTCATCAACAGAAATTGTTTGTATTGAAGGGGTATTACACCCAAAAATATAATAACTCTGTCATCATTTACTCACCCTCATGTCATTCCAAACTTGTACGACTTTCTTTCTTCTGCGGAACACAAAAGATGATATTTCGACATTGAAGCGTGTTGACTATGGGCAAAAACGATGAGACATTTCTCAAAACATCTTCTTTTATGTTCCACAGAATAAAGAAGTGCATACAGGTTTAGAATGAGGACAGAAGTCAGTCAGTCATACATAAGGACAGTGAGTTTTCTTTTTGGTAAACTATATCTAAATTGGAAAAGGAAAAAAGGAAACGGTCACTTATGTTTTTAGAGTTTTAGTGTTTTTTTTTTTTTAAACAAAATAGACACAATCAAAAGAACGCAAATGTCATTATTCAAATGTTTATTATTAATTTATTGACATTAAAGCACAGTTGGTCTTTTAACAACTAAATGATTAAATTTCATTTTGAGCATCAAATGTAACATTGTAATTTATGTCGGATTGAAATACATGCACATTAAAAAATTAATGTGCCTCTTGAATACCAAACTCTTGTCTGTGTGTATATTGAACTCAAATTGATCTGAAATGTACAGCCAATGCACTTTGCTTTGACAACTCACATTCAATCAGTCAGCCAGTCAAACATCCGATTTTCTCTCATCATTCATAGTAGTTAAAAGAGAAGTCATAGAAAGCTGTGGTATTCGGTGACGAAAGGTGGCTGGAGCTGTTCTTATTGATATGTTTGATGAACTTGAGGGTGTCTTTGTCTCTGTATACCAGAGCGAGGGAGTTATCTTCAGGATACACCGTGAGGAGCTAAAGAAAACAGTGTCAACAGAATAAATAATGTGCACTAGTCCTGCTGGATCAGCGCAAGTTATAACAAATTTCTCAAATGAAAACAAACTGACACTGTGTGACATCACTTACCTCCTCATCTTCATCATTTGCAATATAGGATGTAAATCCCCCAAACTCCGACTTCCACCCTGAAAAACAGACTGATTTCGGACTCTTGCACTTTTTAAAAAAAAATTATTTCAATTCAATTTTTTTCTACTTCACTCAGTTTTATATGATTCTTATCTAAATCACAACTGAATCATACTGAAGACACCAATCAACTAATAGTAATGAAGCACACACGTCAAGATTACGTACCTGCACAGCCCATGTGAAGCTGCAGATCCAATGCATACTCTCTTTTGACACAGTCATGCAACAATGTGTAGTCTCCATGTGCCCAGCGACGCAGTTCTCCTACACAAGTTGGGGGTCCTGCATGAATACAAAACATGTAAATCACTGTAGATGTAAAAATTGATCTTTGCAGAATCAACACATGTACACGCTGATCACCTTTGTCCTTCTTCTCAGCTGATGAAGCATCGGCATCAGCACTGGAACCCCCTGCTTGTGTATTGTCCTCTCCATCTCTGTTTTCTGTCTCGCTCTTTTCATCTTCGCTCTCATCCTCATTGATGCACAGATAGTGTAGACTGAGGCCGGTCAGGTTGGACAAGAGGATGAAGAACGGCTCAGAGGAGAGGAGTTCCCAGCACTCCTGTACACAAGTTGGGAAGCTCTGCATATCAGCACAGCTGTAACACCTAAACACAGTGAAAGTTCATTAGTACACAAATCATCTAAACAAATCACATGACACTTACCCCCAGAAAATAAAACATGCAGAGACAGGAAGAAATTAATAGTTGAAATATTATCACACAAAAACGGGTGGGTTGGATCTCACCTTTTATTGGGCGGCCCCCTCCTCTCCCACTGGATTTCAGACGACTGCAATGCACTGCGCACCTGCTTCAGTTTCTCCTCCTGACAGGAAAAGTTCAGGATATTAGCATTATAGATACATGTAAGTGTGTGGAAACATGTAACAGTTTCCGATAAAGACAGATATTCATTAATATGAGCAGACTTTACTATAAGATTCAATTAGCTTGCATTAGTTGATGCATTAAGTGTCTTAAACTAACAACAACATTTAGATTCATGTACATACTTGAATAATTTATATAAATAAATGTTAAAGTTGCAATGTAACAGAAGTAGAGGCAGATCCTCTGTATTGTGTGACGTACATCAGAGTGAAAAATGAAGGACGGGCTCAAGAGTTCAACCCATTGGTTGTTGATTGGACGGAGGCAGCTCTAAGTGCAAGCTTGCAGTCGGTCATAAGAAAGAGGCAAATTTATATTGGACTAAATGATGGAAACCTCGGCATATATGTGGAATTTAGACAATTTATTAAAAATGATGTGGTCAAAAAGTGAACAGATGTATGGATGAATAACTTACCGTAAGATCAATAACATGCATTTAGAAAATCAATGAATTTCCATTTCAATTTGGCTAAAAATAATTAGTAGATGAAAAAAATAGCATTAACTTAAATTTAAATATGCTGATGTTAACAACTCGAATTGTAAAGTATTACCATTAATGGATATGAAAAATAGTAGCATTTTCATTGTAATTTAGGTCCATCTCTACTGGTTTTGTCCATATGGCACAATATAGGAATATTCTTCAGTGCAGTGTCTGCAAATGTGACTCGTACATGTGCACAATTATAAATAAATAACTTAAACACTTAATTATTTAAAACTTACTTGCCTACATGCCTCTTGTGGGATGTCACTAAAATTCACATCTACAGGAATTTCTCATTTCCATCAATTATACATAGACCTCCACAACAGCACAGACAAAAAGGGTCTTATAAAAGCCTCTTCTGTCACAGTTTATTTAAAAGTGTGTATATATATATACACTTTTATATATATACAAACACACACACACACACTCACCTAAAGATTATTAGGAACACCATACTAATACTGTGTTTGACCCCCTTTCACCTTCAGAACTGCTTTAATACTAAGTGGCATTGATTCAACAAAGTGCTGAAAGCATTCTTTAGAAATGTTGGCCCATATTGATAGGATAGCATCTTGCAGTTGATGGAGATTTGTGGGATGCACATCCAGGGCACTAAGCTCCTGTTCCACCACATCCCAAAGATGCTCTATTGGGTTGAGATCTGGTGACTGTGGGGGCCATTTTACTACAGTGAACTCATTGTCATGTTCAAGAAACCAATCTGAAATGATTGGAGCTTTGTGACATGGTGCATTATCCTGCTGAAAGAAGCAATCAGAGGATCGGTACATGGAGGCCATAAAGGGATGGACATGGTCAGAAACAATGCTCAGGTAGGCCGTGGCATTTAAATGATGACCAATTGGCACTAAGGGGCCTAAAGTGTGCCAAGAAAACATCCCCCACTTTAGGTGGTGTAATGGTGTGGGGCACCATTACACCACCACCATCAGCCTGCACAGTGGTAACAAGGCATGATGGATCCATGTTCTCATTCTGTTTACGCCAAATTCTGACTCTACCAAATGAATGTCTGAACCAAAATCGAGACTCACCAGACCAGGCAACATTCAACTATCCAATTTTGGTGAGCTCTTGCAAATTGTAGCCTTTTTTTCTATTTTTAGTGGGGATGAGTGGTACCCGGTGGGGTCTTCTGCTGTTGTAGCCCATCCGCCTCAAGTTTGTGAGTGTTGTGGCTTCACAAATGCTCTGCTGCATACCTCGGTTGTAACGAGTGGTTATTTCAGTCAAAGTTGCTCTTCTATCAGCTTGGATCAGTCAGCCTATTCTCCTCTGACCTCTAGCATCAACAAGGCATTTTTCGCCCTCAGGACTGCCGCATACTGGATGTTTTTCCCTTTTCACATCATTCTTCGTAAACCCTAGAAATGGTTGTGCGTGAAAATCGCAGTAACTGAGCAGATTGTGAAATACTCAGACCAGCCCGTCTGGCACCAACAACCATGCCACGCTCAAAATTGCTTAAATCACCTTTCTTTCCCATTCTGACATTCAGGTTGGAGTTCAGGAGATTGTCTTGACCAGGACCACACCCATAAATGCTTTGAAGCAACTGCCATGTGATTGGTTGATTAGATAATTGCATTAATGAGAAATTAAACAGGTGTTCCTAATAATTCTTTAGGTATGTGTATATAGTACATAGCCATTCACTGATGTACATTTGTATGTGTACTACTGTTCATTAAATATAATTGAACATTTTTGTGTAATTAATAATTATGAAGATGACTAACCTGTAAGAAACTAGGCAAGCAAATCTCTGAATTCTCTTCGAACTCCTGCTGTACCCGAGCCTGATAGCGTGGATCCAGGTACATCTCATTCACCCACTCAAATAGCAAACTCTCCTTTAACACATAAACACAATGAGCTTCAGGCAGAGGGAATATAAGTTGAGTGAGTGAGTCTTGGTCATTTGGACAAGTCACAAAACAAAAACACACTGTCACACTAACTTGACTTACATCTCTGGGGATATGAAGGTGACGGGGAACTGGGGGTTCAATAAAGCGTGAGGGCCTTGGAAGGGAAGGACCATGAAACCATCCACTAAGAGATAAACGGCACTTCTCCTCAGAAAGAACCTCTGCCACCTAAGCTTGCAGATCATTTCATTAAAACCGATGTACAGTAAAACATTAATGAATGGACATTCAATCAAAATATTAATAAATACTATAATAGTATAACAAAAAACTGATTACCTGATGGAAGGAAACTGGGGACACTTCAAAAAACACCAGAGAGTTCCAGCAAGGAAGCAGAGATTTGACAACATTCACTGGCTGACAGTGTTCTGTGAAACATACAGAATAATAATTAGTAAACAAACAAACAACTAAATTTGCATTATCCCCATGGATGATCATGCAATATTTTAATATCATAACATTTTCTATTGCAAAACATTCTTACTCAGTATTACAAATATCAAAAAATTAAATCAAGATCCATTTACTTGAGAATCGAAATAATCGAAATAAAGAGTTTATTATTCAATAAGAAAAATAAATCTATCTGCTGGTAGTGGGGTCAGAAAAATAAACATTATTTATAACAAGATTATTTTTCTTACCTCACTGACCGTTTTTTTTTTCTCGGTTTAAGCATAAACTCCTCCTTTTGATCAATATTTTGCATATATTAAGTCATTTTGCTTCTCAAAGAATTGTGTCTTGATTTAATAATCTTTAGATATTTCTACTGGAAAACAAGACAAAAAACACACACCATCAGTGCTGAACAGGTCCAGGGTCCCTCCATCGTTCACGTCCCAGGGAGGAACTAGATAGAGGATAAATGCAACTCTTCGTCCCTCCAGCTCATCATCGTGACACAGCAAAACATCTGCAAAAAGAGCAGAGAGAGAGAGACGTCAAAAACCAGGCTGCACATCATCTCCACCTCTACACCCCAGTGATTGGTCGAGAAGTTGTCAGATGGTTTACCTGTATGCTCGTACTTGGAACAGGACATATCAACAGTCGCCTCCAGATCAACCTGCAGCACCTCCGACAACCACTCACGAAACTCCCCAAAAATCACAGACCTGAGATTCCAACAAACAACACATGAGTAAAATTCTTATAGAAACTCATACTCAGTAGCTCACTTGAACTCTGACGCACCTTATTTGGGCTACATGATGTTCTTTTCTCTTTCTCATATCATCTGACTGCAGAAGAAACAGACTTCAGTACTTGACCATCAGCTTCTTTACAAAATATGTTTCAGACTGATACCTGTTGAAACTTGTACAAGTCATTTGACTTGCTGTTGAAATTCAGCTGCAGAAGCTCTGCTCGCAGACTCTCCACAAAGCTCTCATTCTGCAGGAAATTAGTGATCTGACAGTGAGGGAAGGGCTCACAATCCAGGTGGATGTTACCTGGACAGAGACCAGCGACAGGAGGGGTTCACAGACATGACAAATACACACCAGTTTGCTCTACCTCTAAAAAGCAAATTGATTCTGTTCACAGTAACTGAATGACTGTTTAAGTAAGGAAAGCTAAATGTGTCACGTGGGTGGGCATACATACCATTTGAGTAGCTCTCTTTCCTCTGCCATGCGTCTGCCATGCATTTCTGGACAGCGTGATCCCTCATATCCGAGTTAATTTCCGCCAGTTCTCCTCGTTTCTCTTTCTTATTCTTTTTACCCGTTTCGGAATCATTATGTCGTTTTTTAGGTGGCATGACAAAACCATGAGGGAAATAAACACATGGGGACTTTTGTTTTGTTTTCCTTTGTTCTTCTTCGTGCGGATTCAGTCAGAGACGCTTTTGGGTCTTTACTGCCCCCCATGTCAGTCGTGGAACAGTGGCACAGCTCTTCTGAAATTATTATGTCCAGAAACGATCTATGCATAAGCTTATGAGCTGCTTTTATGTTTTAAACATTGGCTACAATGTGATTAATATATTTTTAACAATGAAAACACTTAAGTAATAATAATAATAAGGGCATGTTTGACTACCTGTGTGACATAATGACATTTTCTTTTCCAGTTTTCAGTGACATTGATTCACCGTTACTATCACAGATGTAGGTTGTACATATTCATTGATCCTTTTTGTGTAATGACATTTATTTGACCAACAGGTCATCTTTTTTTTTAGAATTAACCATCATTGTGTGAAACAAATCACAATCCTTATTTTATTTTGCAATTTTGTGTCTTTCAATTTGGCAGCAGGCCCACCATTAATTTCTTTGTAATAAATCTGCCACAAAGTTTCAACTTGGTAAAAGGCATTAAGACCATGGCTTAAAAGAGATAAACATGGTTACATAAGTACAATTGTGAATAAATTATACAAACCGACACAGGTCATCATAGTATTTGAATATTAACATTTATTACAATTGACACCACTAAATTAACTTACACTTGGACAAAAGCATACATTGACAAAGGGTTTTATGGGGGGGGGGGGGAGAGATTACATCCAATATTTGAAAATATTGGATTACATCCAATATTTAAATACAAAAAAACCCTGTTTTGTACAACAACAAAAAAACTAGCATCGTGTCATTTGAGGTAACGGGTAATTGCTTATGAACCAGCTTTAGTGTTGACATCTGCACAGTCAGAGGTCCCCAGATAACGCACTGCCCACTGTATGAGATGCCCTGGGATCCTAGACACACACAGATAGAAACTAACAAATACATCTTAGATCAAAAGGGTAACAGTGCTTAAGAAAAAGCTGAAATATTAGAGCTTTTGGTTTTACTCTGCATACTGTACTGCTGCAACCACTGTCTAGCTAATGCTCAGTTCAGATTTCCTACAGGTGCACTAGAGGTCAAAAGAGGTCGAAACACTAGATTGCTTCCCCCAATCTTGATCTAAAGGTTTTAGATCAAATACTTAAGGCATTAAAACAGTAAAATTGTGAATATAACAATTTTAATGAACTATTTTCTATTTTGATATTTTATAAAATGTAATTTATTGCTGTGATGACAAAGCTGAATATTACCAGCCATTTTGATATACATGATATCTGAAGGATCATGTAACACGTAGTGTTACATGATCCTTCAGATATCAAGTATAATCAATCATATATACATAGAACGGGAACGGGAACTTCGTGCCCTGGATGCGCATCCCACAAATCTCCATCAACTGGAAGATGCTATCCTATCAGCATGGGCCAACATTTCTAAAGAATGCTTTCAGAACCTTGTTGAATCAATGCCACGTTGAATTAAGGCAGTTCTGGCGAAAGGGGCTCAAACACAGTATTTCTATTTTGATATTTTATAATTTAAATTTTATAAAATTATAATTTTATAATTTGTAATGCATTTCTATTTTGAAAGGATTATTCCTAATAATCCTTTAGGTGAGTGTGGTGTAAACAGGCGTAAAAAAATGTATGTATGCATGTATGTATGTATGTATATATATATATATGAAGAGTTCAGATGCAAAAGCCTCTAAATGTCATTTGAAATTTTCTTCTTTAATGATGATTTTTATCAAACTTGTATATTTAAGTTCAGTAATTTCACTTAAATAACAATTAATAGGTAATTGTCATTGCCATTTAGGTGAAATCACTGAACTTAAATATACAAGCTTGATAAAAATGATCATTCTAGAAGAAAATTTCAAATGGCACTTAGAGGCTTTTGCATCTGAACTCTTCATATATATATATATATATATATATATATATATATATATATTATATATTTTTTACTGTACTACAGAGCAAGACAAAGTTCTTGGATCATTGCCCATCACATAAAAAACATATTATAATCATTATGTCTCATGTCACACTCACTGGAATTGGGCGAGGGCCGTGGTAACCTGAGGCTGTGGACAATACAAATAGGAAAAAGGCATTCCATCCGAGTGCATCTGAAACAGAGAAGTTGAAACAATTTAGCAACATTTCTGATGCAATACACAGTAAATTGGGATCATTAAAAGCATTAATCATATCATATTATGCAAAAATACAGCAACATATCATTAATACCATTTACACTCACTTTGGTGTCTTTGGTGGGTGGAGACGCTGAGGGGTTTTGGCTGGCGTCTGGAGACACTAGGGGCCTCTGTTCAGAGGGTGGGGCTGTATTATGGACTAGCCACGAGGGAGGACTCACTGCACGTTCTCTGTCATGCTCCTGACTGGGGTCTCTGATGGACTTATCACTCGAGAGGGATGGACTAAACTGGGTCGGCTTGGGTCTCTGACTGAGTGTAATGCCGTCTACTGACATCCCTCCTGAGTTCTGCTTCGAGAACTGGTTTTGGGTGCTTGTTGCTATGGGCAACGAGGGGACTTCCCTTAAAAGCGATTGACTTTCCAGCTCTGGGTCTGTCTCTGCACAAAAGTAAGTTAAATTAAACATAATAGTTCATTCTGTTTGTTACAGAGCAGAAATTACACTGGTATTATCCAATAATAAATCCACATAAATTTACACATTAGCACAAAAATAGAATTGAATAAAATGAACTACATAATTCATTGACAAGCAAATTTGACAATTATTTTTTTATGGAATATTGCAGTATTTATTAGAATTGATTTATCCAAGCACATCCGATGTGCTTAAATAAAATTTAAACAAAATAACGTCCCCTCCCCTATGCAGCGTCATCTCTTCTCTAATGACGAGGGCGGGAAAATCTGTCACTCACATGTAAAACACAATGATCCAATTAATTCCTGTTGGACGAAATCAAGTCCTGCCCTACATTTTTCTTGTTTGAGAAGCTGTTTCACTCAGATATTCGTCACAATAGGCAAAAAAAGAATAAATCGACTTCAATTAATAAAATAGTGCAGTTTAAAATAAAACACCACCATAGGAACAATGAATTTTAGTATATTTCTTCTCGCCTAAGGAATATTGAGTCTATGCCCAGATGAAAGGATTCAAAGGTAGAATGAAGGCAATGAGTATGATTTTACATACCGCAAGTGCCGTTTTTAACATAAAATTAAAAAAAAGGTCCTGAAGTGCATGTTGTTTATGTTCAGTGATATTATCAGCCTGGTTAGTTATTTCACTATTAAATTGATTTCCTATTATTCTGTGTATGTTAAACATTTGTATAAAGAGGAAATTACCATTTGAGTCTGAAGTGGAACGTCTACCTAACAGAGCTGGCTCTTGTGTGTACATATCCCATGGGCTCTCTCCATCCCTAGACAGCTCCCCTGTACCACACACAACCTCTGGGAGAAGGAGGGATGAGTTTAATAACAAATCATCTACCCGGAACAGCACTGACTTTCTTTTGTAAAATCTCACCTGGTCTTGTGTGTATCAGAGTAGACTGTCCGTCATCTGGACATGAGGCACTTATATTGTCCTGAGTGGCCACTGTTTGGTTTGCAATCGAAATGCTGGTTGGATGCGATTCTTCAGGGGGCGGGGCCAAAACATTTGATGTCTCACTCTCACTACCTGCACCTGCATGTACACAAGACAAAAACACATAGTACACATAGTGCACCACATGCATGGTAAAATCTGGTCGAATGCCCAAAGGGTTGTCATGCAAAAAGCAATTAATTAGGCAGCAGACAGTACTGGGATCAGCTGCTATCAGCTCCCTCTGTTCCTCCGGGATGAGAAGAAAAGGCACAGGGACAATGAACTGCTCCTGTCCCTGGAAAAAAAACACATACACACGCAATGAAAATTTGTCTGGTCAACAGCTGGTGCCTTTAAGTTTCCAAGGAAGCAGCCTTACCCTCCAGTGAAGTCTCTCTCTGTGCCAGTGAGTTGGTGTCGCCACACTTGGACAATATGTTGTAGACATGGATATTTTCTCTATTGCATCACTCAGAATATTTATTATTATGTCATTGTGCCAAACCTCCAATATAGATGAGAGCGAGACCCCTGAGAAATTAGGTACATTTTTATCGTTTCTGTGAAGCAGCATGTGTTTTCTTTATGAATTAAGAATCCAAATTACAAGCATTTAGAGTTCAGTGCAAGAGGTGTGAGCATATGCAAGCTATTCGAAGAAAGACAAAGAGAAAATGTGTTTGACACCTACCAGAGGATGAACTTACAGAACCCTCCCTGTGGGATCTGACAGAGAGCAATACAATTAACACTAACTGTTAAACACAATCTAAAAACACACTGCAGTTCTGTGTAACATGTACGTGTTCAAGCATGCTTTAAACAAGGTCAACACACCTCCATGTCTTTTTGATCTGATCTCTGACTGAAGAGAGAGTTGTACTGAAAGATAATGAAAGACTATGAGAGATTAATAGCTAAATAAATGACAATGATTTAGAGCAGTTAGGACACATCATTGCACATGCTTAGAAAGATCAGTGACTTGCCAGCTAGGGGGTTGTTGGCGCTTTGAAGCGATGCCTAAGGTGTTCATTTCACTGACTTTCAAGTAAAACTGGCAAGATGCCTAAAAAAAACAAAAAGAGGAAACATGTAAACATCTAATACATAAAGATTTCTCATTTCTTTGTTTGAAATCAACAAGCCAACATTCAATAAAACTCTTAAGTTGGTAACATCAGTTATTGTTTTAATGTGCTTTATTCAATCACCATTAATATTACATTAATTTACATGACTTTTCTAGAACGGACAGGAATGAATAATATAAGCCATGTTTACGCAAAATATATCAGTATATCCCTCTAGTTTCTCTATCCAAGAACTGCATGGCCTGGAGCATGCCAAAGCATCAGCAATCAAAAGGAAAATGTTTAGAGGTTGGAACCAAAAGATGGACATATAACATACCAGATCAGGGTTCATGTCGAAGTGCAGCTCAAAGCTGCGTAAATATACAATAGCATTGTGCAGGCTTGTAAAGGTCTCCATCTCCTCCAATCTGAAGAAAGAG